TTCATTGTCACCTCAGAGCTACAGAAAGAAAAACGAAAAATGAATTTAGGGCTTTTCTTGTAAACTCTATAACTTTGCAAAGAAAGGTCATGTAGAGCTGGGAGATGCCTCGTTTTAATCAGAAATTTATGGACTACAATTACGCCTCATTAAGAAAGCTTTTGGTAGTTGTTTAGAGTTTTCCAAAAACCAGGTTTCCGGAGGCCTAGCAGCCCAAATGCTTGTCATAGTCGGATTCAGCATGTTTGATTACCTGTTGTCCACTAGCTTAGAGCTCAAAAGCGAGTTGACAGTCGGGGACCTTTCCTCGTCAGTCTAGGGGTGCATATTTTCGTAAAACTCCAGGTGAAGATAAACTTCCTATGTTAAAGTATGTATTTACTGCCAGTTTCATAATTTTCACAAACACATTACATCTTCATTCATTTCAGAGCACGACGAAGTAAATCTGACGATACACTTCGATACAAGACAAAAATGAATTCTTTAGATAGCTTAACAGATTCTCACCTCAGGTAAGTGTCCTGAATTTTCAAAAGAATGCCGAATTTTTGCGTGTTTTTCCTTTCCAATGATGATGATAAACTATTGAATAATTCTGAATCAGATAATTCGTGGAATTACGGTAATAATAATGTTAGTGGGAATAATAATATTAATGATAATAATATTAATGTTAATAATGTTCTGAATATAGATGATACTGATATGAAGGATGATTCAGCCACTTGTAATCAAAGCAGCTCTATCAACTCTGAGTCTTAATTCTACTGATAGTTCAACTACAGAGACAAGAAGAAGTTCACGTCAATGTACAAAACCAAAACAATATAATGACTATGATATACCAGCTCGTTCCTGTAGTGCATCGGTATTATCATCAAAACGAACTGCTTCTTCGTTAACCGTTAGTTCATTATCTAATCGTTCGTCTTCCGATAATTCATTAAATCATAAACCACAATCTCTACCAACAAAGAAAAATCAGAAAAGACAAAAAATTAAAGAATCACCTAAGCAGTGGCCGAAATCGGAACATCCATGTACAGCTTTAATTGAAAAAATAACAATTCCTTGGCCTAAATATTCTATTAAAAATGCAGTTTTTAACGGTACGGAATATTCTTTTATTAAAACATGTTCATTAGACTCAGCATTATTTGTTCTATATTATGCCTATGTTTCTTACTCATGCCAATTTCGAGCCTTATTTGATCGTGAAACAAAACCTATCTACTCTAATTTATGTAAGACATTTCAGCTGGTGGAAAGTGATGGGTGGGATACAGCTCGTTTATATTCGCTTACGATTCATAAAAGATTAGATTCCTCAACAGCAAACGGCAACAATCAATACAATTTATTTGATACTGTTGATGAAAATGTTTTTAGATATATTCGAACAATGCAAGAGTATGAAAACCCAAGTGAATGTTTGTGTGAAGATTGTCTAAGACGGACAAGAACTTTAATTAGTACTGATATTGCTCTAAAGTAAGTAGCATTCTTTTTTTCCTGTCTAATATCGAACCAAAGCCGTAGGTCAGACGCGGAGAAATTCCACTTCAAACTTCATTAACTACCCACAAACTCTGCTTAAAGAGGGTTTCTTAATTTTTATTTATTACAGCAAAGAAAACAATGCATTCTCCAATACTTTGCCACATTTTGAGACTGAAGGAACCATCTCGTGTGGAATTCCTGTTAGTGAAAACGAACCTGTAAATCATAGTGGAGATATTATATTGGATGAGAAATTTCCTTTCCGTAATACAGAAACAAATGTAGAAGAAATTCGGTGAGAATCAAATCTCTCGACGGCAAAGTAGAAAAAACTAATCTAAACATTTTTTCTTAGGTCTTATTGGTGCTGTGACAGTTTAAGAAAACGATTCAAAAATACGTTCAAAGAAAGACCACCCATTCTCATTATTAACGTCAAAGTCGGAGGTACAAGAATGAAAGACTTGCCTGTTATACTCAATCTTGGCCCAGATACACAAGCACGATACTTGCATGTACTTCTATTTACTTTACTATCTATTTCCACTATCCTTTTAGCTATAAAATCTTTGCTTGTATATGTGGCAGAGATTATCATTTTACGGCCACAATGAAAGTAGCCGACCACTATTACAAGTACAATGATTTACACCCAAATGGAATATATAGTTATGACCGTGCTGATAGTGTCGAAACGGTCATCTATTATTTATTATTATGATATAGTATTTTCATTACCATTTAATCAACATCCCATGCATTAATGAAATGGGATCCTGCATCATCCTTCATTTAGGCAATACAAAGAAAATGCTAAATATCAGAGTTCTATCTGGCACAGCTTTAATGGAAAACGTTAGGCTAAAATACAAAAGTTTGAGTTTTCCTCTAGTTCAGAAATTCAGTATTTGTCATTTTAAGAGCGAAGGAAAGAATATTTTGGAAAACTGATTTCACCAATCGATAGAGCTTATCGAGTTCTAGCTGGCACACTTAATTCCAGAGATGGCACAGCTTTAATAAAGAACTTAGGCGAAAATATGGAAATCTGCTGCTAACTTCCCTTACGTGATGAAATATCCGTTTTCTTGTTTTTATTTATCGAAAGAAGTACTTCCTGTCGATTATTTTACCACTTTCTACCTGAATTTTAGCTCCTTCAATCCTCCAGACAAAAGCTTCGAAAAGGAAGAATTTTTCAAGAATCTCACTAACTAGCTGCTGATTTTGCAAAAAGAAAGAGAAGGAAAAGTGGAGTCATCCCTGCTCTTACTAGACAGAAAAGGAGACAGAGAGAGTCAAATAAAAATTATTATGCAGTTTTTGTGTGTCAACCATTCGCCTAGTGCATATTCCCCGAACAAAGATTTAAGCAAACTGAATTTAATTACAGTATACCTCTACTGATTCTAACTCATTCTGCACATGCAGCTGCGAGATAAAGTTCGACCAGGAGCAGAGCACCAGTTCTAGATAGATAGCGTCTAAATCTCAAAACGTTCGACGTCGTCTCTAAGTCAAGCAGGAGGCAAAATACTGATTACTCTTAATATTGCTTCTCTCATCCACCCTGACAAGAGCAGTATTTTGTCTCCTGCTTGAATTAGAGGCGCCATCTATCTAGAAATGGTGCTCTGCTGTGTCTGATTATAACGAATATTATAGACCACGATGAAATAATTAAAATATGAAAAGATGAGACTGTAGTTCCTTATGCATCTTAAGGCACAGATGACTCGATCTCTAAGCGGAAATACCGAAAAGTTCATTTCCTTGTTTCCATCGATCAGTCGATAAGCGAATACTCCAGAAATGGATTCTATAGACAACAAGAAAAATATTTTGATTTTCCATTTCTCAGAAACCCACTTCTACACTTCTTTTGCACATATCATACACGCACGTTTGAAATGACGATTTTAGTTTTAGCTATGAGTCATCACCAGACACCCCTTTAAGTAGGAAAACGTTCAAAGCTACTGCTAACACAAAAAATACTTGACTAACGAATGATTATGTACTGCATGAATACAGCATGTTTTGCTTGTTCCATTAAGCGAGTTCGTATGCATACTTAATGAGCACGGACATTATCCGCAGAGATTTTGGTACAACTTCGGCGGAGACAGGGAAATCTTAGAAAGTAACTGTGAACTTCTTTTTCCCAGTCACTCAATTTTTTTATTAAATAAGTCAAAATATTTCTGAGTAATTATTTTCAAACTGGGCAGAGGGAACCCTAATCGA